TAGGGTAGGATTTGCTCTGGAGTGACTGAACAGAGCAGAGTTTCATATTGCTACACCACCGACAGACTTGGTGAAGGTCTCCTTGTAGCAGTCCCCAGGGAGCAAGGATGTCTGTAGGAACCATGAGAAAGCGTCATGCTGCCCTGAGCAGCACCACCACCATGGCACAAACCAGGCACAAGTGCCTGGCTCCAAGGCAGGAGCAGACACAACGACAAGCCCCACGCAGCTYTAGAAGACCACTGCAAAAGGAGGCGTTACTCACCACTGAGACAGCAAGCGTGCAGCTTCCCCACGTACTCACATCCCAGAGCAGGTAACTGCTGCACCACCATGTCCTCAGTTCTTCCGACCCCCTTTCTGACTCATCCCCTGCACAGCAGGTGATGCAGTCTTCTGCATATACAGAGCTCAAGCCAGTCCCTCAAAGTTTTGGGAATATTTCCTACAGTCCTCCCATTTAAAACTGGAAAATTATCCTCCCATTTTTTGCTGGAGGAAAAAAAAAAAGTGATTTCTTCGCTTCTGTTTTGTTTTCAGCAAGAAGCAGGGCTGATCCTGGCRCAAAGGAACAGAGGTGACATTGATTCAAGGCCTGATTCTTACCACAGTGGGAATCAGGTGGGATTTGGCAGACCGTCATGGAAATTAGTACCATAAAACTGGTATTAATGGGCAGKAGACATGCCAATGACCTTCTCTCCCACAGCCAAGAAGCACTAAAGATGCTTTACAGGGGAAAGTCTTGTGWAAGTAAGGCTAGAATCCATTATGGTCTCAACTGACCATGCTTGCAAGGACATCTGTGTATATATGTATGGGGAGGGGTTATACAAATGTCAGAACAGATTACAAATAGGAGCTGTTCTTTCCTAATTTTATACATTACTTGAGTCATAAAAAATGAACTCAGTAAACTACCTTCACCTCTTTGTTTATATGGAATGTAGTGTATACATCATTTTTGATCCTCTACTGATTTCCACTATTGGGGCTCATTTTCTGTGACTTGAGAACCTGAAATTATGCTATATATCTTTGTAATTCATTGAACTAACCAGCATTTATTTTAATTTAGCAAGGAAACCTTTGACTGAGTGTGACCAAATAAATACTCTGTCTAAACCAACACCATGTACAAGGCTATACACTTGTTTCAGAGTTCTAATGACATTGCAAGTAAATGGAGCTTCAGCCTTCTCATAAACATAATTCCATGAGACATCTACATTGTCTTTTTTTTTTCAATAGACTAAAATATAATTATAGCACTGTTGGGCAACAAAAGCTCAATCTTGGTAGTAATCCAGCCTTCCAGGTTGACAATTGCTTTAACATGCACAGAAAAATCAGACTGAATTATGAATATGATAATAGTGATAAAACACATCATAAATCTGGTTCAATGAAGACAAAACTTCTTTGGGAACAGAGAGCACAAATTTTGCCACAAGATTATGAAGAGTTTTGCCACTGATTTTGATGCAGAAATAATCTGCATCTTAGATTTAAAGAATAGATTTAGATTTAGACTTGGATTTAAAGGAAGAAATCTAACAGGTTAGCTCTCTCATTTTTTTTATGATGAAAGGAATGACCAAAGTTAAGCTGAGTACCTATAACTCAATTCAAACTGGACATAGGAATTAGTCACAAATGTATTCTTAACATGGAAGAGAAAGCTGCCAAAATCTCTCTGGAAAACTTTTGGCGACTTCAGTACCTCCCCATAGTTCCTGTCTACAGCCTGTTAGTGCCCAACACGGAACACAACTGCTTGCTACTATAGACACCAGATTTGTTGGTGCTCAGCTCTTCAGGATGTACTCAGCTACCTCGTGATCTGTGGTAGGATAAAACACGGAGCACTGAGGACCGCGTTTCACCCAAGTGAGAGCAGCTCCCTGTGAAGGACGGCACGATTCAGTAACAGCTTTCTTGGTCTGAAAAGCATTCCCAGCACTAAAACATGCTTTAGCACTGCTTGTATGTGTTTTCTAATTCAATCTTTTATGCAATATCTTGAACTATAGTACAGCGGTAATAATGTAATTAGTATTTTCACTAGCTAAATTATAGCGTTGACTGCAGAATATAGCATAGTAGCATCAATATTAACAGTTAAGCATTAGACTAAAATGACATCAATAGTTTTAGTACAGTCAGGAGAGACATTGTAATTTCCTCTTTCTCTTGGATTCCTTTAAATTGTATCAGAGGAGGGAAATCACAGAATCCACTGTCTTTTTAGTTCAATTCAAATTATGAAAATCAGCTTCTCAAAGATTTCTTAGGTACCATTTGAAAGTTCTTGAATAATTTTCATTTCTGAACATGATATTAGTTATATAGAAGTGAAAACCTGCTGCATCTGTCTCTCTCACCTGAATTAAGTCCCCAGCACTTCTGCAAGTTAATCCTCCATGTCTGTGGGATTCGAACTTCCTTCTGGCTAAGCTAATTCACAACCCCCTAGACCAAATCGGGAACACTGCAAATCTACCAGCACCTCCTAGTTACAGTAACTTCATGCTTTGCTTCATAAGATTCATTTCTTCCTTCTTCACTTCCATTCACTTCATTTTGTTTGTTTGTTAAAATGAAGATCTCCAGCATATTGACTGCTTGAGGTGAGACAAAGCAATCCCTTGGTAAATCCCTGGAAACACAGACCAGATCATACATGTGACCATTGAACTTTCTGAATTTCCTCTTTGCAGAAACTCTTAAGTTTCTGGTGGTTCTGATAAAGAGSGGAGCTTTTGTACAGCATTTAATTCATCTGCTGAAAGGAAAATWTACAAATTCACTTGTTTCTTTAAGGCCCTAGCTTACACCCATAGATATAGGAGCATAGGAAGTAACATAGAGAAAAATAATGTCTTGGGCCCTTAGAGAAGATCTGCAAAGCCTTGAATGCAAAAGGCCCCATGCTAGCGTCAAAGGAACTGGTAAAATGATCTTTCTGCTTAAATCTACTTCTGCTCTCAAGGCCAAAGTCCTGGTTTACTTTTTGTTCGTGGGCCTACTCTGTGAGAAGAACTCTGACTTGAAACTCTTCTACATCCTTGAGCTAGGAGGGAGAAATGCAGGCACTGCTGAGTGGTAAGGTGAGACTGACATCCAAAGGTGTTGGGCTCAGCTCCAAAATGAGTCTGTTCCTCATTATCCCTAGTACCACAGCCACAAAATAGCATGAAAACAGCATTTACACAATGAATTTAAATGCAAATCTATATTTTATTCTATGAAATTGAGACAAACAACACATAGCTGAAGCTTGCCAAAGCAGCAATTACAAACATTAATCTAGTTTTAGACGATGGCTCAAGCCAAATGAGGGATGAGATGGGAACACTCTGCACCAGAGCTAGTGCAGTACTACAGAGGGAAAAGCAACGCTTGCCCTAGCAATCTATGCCTAAAACAGGAGTCTGAACAGTGCTCAAGCTGCTGCTACGGCCGGGCACAGACCCACACTGCCTTGTGCAGCCTCCACGGAGGCCCCAGCCCCACGGTGCGGGTGTGATGTCCCACACATGCCCACGCCAAGAGCCCGGGGGTCTCTGAGCGTGCCTGAGAGGATTTGGCGCTTCCCTGATGGGATGTGCACCCTCCTGGAGGGAGCCCTCTGACAGGAGGCCGAATGCTCCCGTTGGCCTAGGAATAGCCAGCATAGTGGCTATGAGGACATATTTATGCTAGGTCTGGTTTAGACRGCATGCTAGAGGCTCGTGAAAAGTGTTCTCCCACTAATGCCCTAGTATTAGTAGTACCAGAATATAAAAGTCAAMGGGGGCATGAGAAAACATTTGGTACAAGTGAGTTCCAAGAGCTCATTCTGGTGCGGGCTAAGGGAGGAACCCAGCAGAAACGGTTTCTGTATCAGCATTCATGACACCACCAGTCCCCACCTCAGTTAGGACTCCACACAGCCAGGCCTGGTGCATCCCCTGCTCCTCCTGCACAGCATCCCAGAGCACCAAGGACCTCCCAGCAGGAGCTCAGGCCTCTGGGGAATTAAGCCTTAACACAAGATAGCCCATCAAGGCTTTTGTAAACTGTTGAAGAGGCTGACAAGAATAAAAGAAAATAGTAATTTAGAATTTGGCAGAGAAAACCCACTCTAAATCATTTCCAACTGCTGTAAGTCTTTGCTTCTGTTTTACAAGTAATAGAAGGGACTGTTTTATAACGTTACTCATTCAATACATTTAAGAAAGTTTCTCTCCTACAGGGGTTTTCAAATACTGTCTTCGCCCTGTGGTTGCCTTACTTCAGCATCCCATTCCAGAAACACTGCTCATTACCCTTTGGGGGAAAAAAGGTCACATACTCAAGGATAAAAAATGGTTAGAAAAGAAAAAAAAAAAGGTAAGGGACAATATTATAGTCTTTTCACATGACATAAGAGGACAAAACTATTCCCAGAATGTCCTACAGAAAAGCAAGAGTTAGTACCTCCAATAGGCTCCAGGTATACGTGGTCTGCAAGCTCAAAACTCTCCAAGCCCCAAGTGGATTTGAACTCAATTCTGTGGCAATTATTTCCCTTCTTCAGGAGTAAGCACAGGGCAACCTTAGACCCATCACTCAAACCAGTGGGAGTCAAGTACCTTCAGCTTTCCTCTCAGTATGTCCAAAACTTTGCTATCAGTGTCCCTGCAGCCGGGCAGTTCTTGGCTCTTCCTGAGCCAAGTGGGGCAGCTTCCCACAGGGTCCTGCCCAGGGTGCCCCTGGAGGTCCCAGCTTCACTCTTTCCCTTCCAAGAGGGACAAAGATATATAAAGATATATAAACCCAACCACGCATTGCTCCATCCCTCTATAGTGAATGATGAGGACTTCTGCACATATCTTATCCTTAACACTGGTGTCTCACGCAGAACATGGCCTTTTTATCACAATCAGATCTCATTGCTTTTTTATTTTGTAGTTACGCACATGTTTGGAGATGCAAAATCAAACCATCTTCTGAAAGCTAGCAGTAGGAAATATCTCAGGACAGATGAATTCCACAGTTAAAAAATGCACTTTTTCCCCTCACCAAGGTGGGGAAGCTCTAAACAATATACAAAGGCAAAGGGGGAAAATGGATAAAGTCCTGAGAAGGCTAAAATTTGAATGTTATAATCACAAACATTTCTTGTGCAAGGAAAAGGAAATGACTGATTCTACAAAGATTCTGTGATAAATCATCACCCCGTCTGAAATTCCAAAAACATGCTGCATTAACTGGTAGCGATGTTAGAAGAAAACAAAAAGGAATAAGAAATGAGGATAACTTCATAAAGAACAAAATATRTCTTTCTGGAGTGCTGAGGTCTTTCAATGGATCAAACAGTAGAATGAGATTTCACAATCTAGGAAGAGTTTTAACAGTTGTATTTGAATTGCAGTCATAAAAGCATTAATGTGAAATACAGCTCTAATAAAAAAAATCAAAGTTTATAAAACTGGTTGATAATTTTCCACCCTTTCCAGAAGAATCTCAGAATATCCAGGAGAATAATACCTGAAAGAGAAACATTTTTTGCGCATTAGACTACAAAATATTCTGTGCTAAGGAATGAAACCCTATTTCTATTTGTATTGATTTGAAAAAGAGAATCCAAGCATTAAACACTGGTCAAGGAATTCTGTATTTATTCCCCAGCAGGGCTTACAAACCTGCTTTCCAACTTATGCTATTGTTTATAGCTAGAAGTGAAGCTTTCAAAGAATGCTTAGCCTCTTTTAGGGCATGGAGGTAAGTGGATAGTTTGGGGACAGGCTAAGCAACCAAGATAACTGTCTTTACTAGGCAATGTGGATGTTAACTACCCGAGAAACTATGGCCTTTAACAGAACAGCATGAGCACATGCATGAATGYGGCACCACAGGCTGCTGGGGTATTCTCACATTGCCCACGAAATACAGGCTCACATCCCCAACGCAAACACGAAGCTCACATCGACGCAAGCAACATTGATTCTGGAATAAAATTCTATCACAACCACCTTCTTCCACTAATGCTTGCTCACTGTGGAGATTTCCAATAGATTTTCTCTAGGGCAGACCCCTATGGTGCCATTACTGACTGGCTGCCATCCAGCTGGGTTTCCAAATGGACCAGCTGTGGGCTTCCAACACACAAGTGTCAGCAGAGCTGTATTTAGTTTTTGTTTTCCAGGTTAAACAGAGTATCTGAAATTTATTGCTGTTTTATTCTAAAAATATACATCACAGCACATTCCTGGTTTTGCAGGCATGTAAGTTGTCATCTCTGAATGCTGGAAGCTTTAACTATAAAGAGAAACACTTCCACACAATGCATGCCGAAAATGTATTTAAGCAGAAATCCCTGATGTTTTCACATTAAGGAAGACCCTTTCTTCTTGGTGATTTTCATTTTCTGGATGATTATGCTTTCTGCATAATGTATTTCTTTTTAAAACTGCTATTAGTTTTCTTGTTGTAAAGCTAACTTTTCAATGCATTGTTATTATCCGGAGTCTGCAAACAGTCTGAAATAGCAGTTCTCCAGGACAAATCCAGAGCTGGAGTTTATTACAGCAGCTTTGCCTCAGGGAGCGGAACCAACATCATTCTACCGCACACAGAAGATGCTTGAAGGGGCCTTTTTTTATTACATCACAACCTATTTGAGTAACTTTTGTTTTGTTTATAGAAAAAAAAAAAAAAGCATCTGTACCACAGATAAACATTAATTATATCCAGAAAAGTATAAGCAAATGTCCCTTCTCCCTCTGAAGTATCCCTATTTGCAGCTGCAGAATAAAGTTTCTTTATGATTTTGCTTTTGTCCATTTGACAGCCTCAGCTGACTTCTTTTTATGGAGACAAATAGGGCTTCATTTTGCATGACTTAGTTTGTGGCTACTCTTAGCTCAAGAACTCTGCTGCTACAATTAAAAATGATAATGCAGATTTCCAGAGCCTGCAGAGGGAGTGCAAGAGTACACCATGCTTTTGATGTGTTGATGGAGGTAAGCACTGGTAAATGGGTATCTAGAATCCAGAAGGACATTTCTCTCATTATTACAATTTAGGATGGTGACATTTTGACTGTAAGCTATTTAATAGTGTTTCTGTATTCATTAAGGGCAAAGTTCACCCTGGTGCAGACAGCTGGTGTATGGTCCTTTTATATAACACTTAAGCCTCATGATGAGGCTGGGGGCRGGGGGAGGAAGGGCAGCTGGGGCAGAGCAACCGCGCAGCCCCCGGACCCTCTGCGCAGGAAGAGCCTCCAAATGCACTAGTTTGTAAAGGCTCTTTAGGAGGTCAAGGATGCAGCCAAAGATCCACGAGTACCTGTATTCTGTGGCCTGAGAAACCCACAGAAAAGCCACAGTGACAAAGTAACCTCCCCCAAACATCCACAGCTACGAGCACCGTTGTGCTGAAGCCCCATGGTCTGTCTGAGCTGTGGGCCTGGCTTCTCTCCCTGCCTCCCAAGAGCCTGATATAGGACTTTGTTTAGAGACAAAGAAATTTGATCCCAAAACAATTAAAAAGCAGAAAGCGTTCAAAAGTACGTATCTAACTTCAGTGGTTAGTGCAGCAGTTAATAATGGGGCAGCTAACCAAAGGTTATGCTGTTTAATAAGAACAAAATCCACATGAGGAGTTAATCCTGTACATTAGATCCTTGCTTTCTGTTGCTYCTGTGAAGAACATCCAACACTGATGGAACACTGTCATCCAACGTTGCCATTTAGACTTTCCATACCTCACTATCTCCTCCGGATAGCAATTGTTAATGGCGTTGATGTACTCCTGAAGAAGCGAGCCCGGCTCCGCTTTAATCTCTTGCACCTTTTTAAGGCCACCGGTCGTTACAAAGAGGCGCCGCGCTTTGCTGTCGTGGGGCAGCACCTACACACAGAGAAGTACRTCATAAAACCAGCATTTTTTAAAAGCAATCTTTGTGCTACTAGGCTCAAAAATTGTTTATTTGTTTTTAATTCAGATGACAGATAAAATGAAGCACATCAGAGGTGCAGCTTCCGTAATAACTTTTATATTTTCAYATGCAGTTGGACAGAAAAAAATGAAAACATAAACCAGCCCTTTATTGTTTTAACATATTTTAACATATACTTTAATACATAACATGCATAAGAATATTGAATTGAATATTTATATTTATGTAAATAATATTTCTTAAATCATTGTTACAAGGAGAATATGATTGCGGAGATTAAATAGATAATAAAAACACAATATGAACATGGAATAACAACAGCATCTGTTCCACTTAAACCAAGTTATTCAGGTCTTTTATGTCAATTCCCACAGTTTAATTGTGGAGCAGCATTTTATATCATCATAATGATCTAGTATAGATTATTGCATGAAAACAATACTGAGAATTCTTGCAAGTGAACAATGCAGCCTTGAGGCATTACATGCTACTATTAAATTCCTAGATATTAAAATCACACAGCGCCCTGTGTAGCCATGGAAGCCCTTTGCAAACACACACAGCCGGAGCAGAGCGGAGAAGTTTGTGCAGCCGAGGGGGATGAGAAGCAGCAGCCCCAGACAATGCGGCCGGCGCTGCCGGCGCGGTGCCAACGCACCGCTGTGTGCGGGGACGCGGGGAGCAGGCCGCGCTGGGCCGGGCCCAGGGRCCACAACACCGGGTCTGCCGGCCCACGGGGCCGCGTCGGATAGAAGGGAATGCCAGAAACCTGCCGTGGCTASGGCAAAACGGGTAGATGGGCTCAGAAGCAACTCTGAGAGCAACTCAGAAGCAACTATGTGCCGCGTGGGCAAAAGCACTGTGTAAGCGTTGAAACTCAGTGGACAAATGAAGTCATAAATTGGACTGTGTGGGTAAAACAGAGACTTCAGGGTGGACAGGATTGCCTGAAAGGATGGATGAGGAGAAGGATGAGACTTCTGTCATGGGTATCAGCCGGCGGGCTTCATTTCCCTGGTATCTCCAGGCGGCACAGAATCAAGCAGCAAGTAAAGAAACCCAGGGGCGTGCGGAGCTTCTCCCACATGAGGGCCCAGAACAACTGGGGCCTTTCCACCCAGGACCTGGAAAACTGGCTGTTTCCAGACACCTCCCATGGCAGAAGTATCACTTCCTGCAGGCTGCACCCAAATAGGCAATTTGCCTAACAATAAACAATTTCAGACTTGAGAGGGGTGAGAAAAGATTTGGTATTCTTGCACCTCCTTAATTATTGGAACTGAAAATTAGTAAGGACAGAAATGGGAAAGCCTTTGTCTTACATTGTTGTAAAATACCTGACTTTGGTCACTCCTGTACAGACCACTTTCACTTTATCTGAAACAGCTGTGACTTGGATTTATATGATACATTGGCTCAGCAAAAATATTTGCATGAGGGTTAGTATTCCACTCAATACCACAGCAAGGAGGAAGCAAAAAAAAAACTACCTTGCTTATAAACAACTATTTTTCCTCTGGCCAAAAGGAATTATCAGAGGTTCCAAATTAAAAGTATCTTGTTTTTTCAGACAAAAGAGCAGGATGGTCTGAGCTACTTCTGAAAGGGATGCTTGAGAATCCTGAGAGAACAACTGCCTTTAGGGATACTTGGTGTTTGGAATGGTGTTAACTTCTTTGCTAAATGGAAAACAATGACCCTGTTACCTACCAAGGAGAGCTCATTCTTACCTTGCTGAACTGCCCGACAATGTGCTTCAGGATGTTAGGAGGGGCATCATGCAGCAAAGGTTCAAGTGCTGGAAGATACGTGCATTTCTGCAGGATGTTCTTTAAGGCTTTTTTAGTCTATTGAAATGCAAAATAAAATTTTGCTGGTAAGACATCAATRAAACAAAGAGAAGTCACATTACACATCACTAAAGTCTGATCACAAAAGCAAACCAATCAGAATTCTCAAAAAGCAATTTCTGAACAAAAACTATGATATCCATCAGGTTACTTAATGAAGAATCAATTTTCTACTTAGATTTACTAAACCTCAAAACTTACAGTGCATCATATACCTGTTAYGTTATCTACAGTCAAAGTAATGGCAATTTTCCTTTTACTACAATGGAAACAGAGGCAGGCCCTTTAAGRAAAGTACTGTAATATAATAAGAAAGCTAAATCAAAACACATTTTAAATGATCATATTTTAGAAGGGGCTTATTAGGAGAGCCTGCTGGTCTGGGATAGCAGCACCGCGCACTACCTTCCAGGAAGCAAGGGAGAGGGATATGGATAAGGAATTGCACATCAGTGCCTGTTTCTGCACAAGGGACAGGCTGCTGGCTACTGTGACATTATAGGTCCAGCCTTGATATTTTGGTGACCACTTAAAATGACTATGCAGAAGTTGCCTTCTTATTTCACAGCTCTGGAATTTGTCATACTCCAGTGGAATGTAAAAGGGCACAGTACAAAATGGGAAACCATATCCTGTTATATTACGCTGCTAAGGCAGTTCATGTACTGCTGCACAAAAATAACAAATGCCACCTCTACCAGCTCTTGTGCTAGCRAAGCCTTAGATGTGAGCTGTTCCATGTTTCCAAGAACAGGGCCTTGAGCTTTTGTTACTGTTTTATTACAATAGTAGAAGTGGGAACAAATTTGCCAGTAGTGCAACACTTTGTACAAAAGACTATGAAAAAGTAAAAAGGAAGACTACTAAATTTTTTTTTAAATCTTCCCCAAAATGAAGATACTTAAAAAATAGACAATTATGAGAAATCATAGCSTTTCTGGGAGAAAGCAGCTCTGACCTAAACTGTCAGAAGAAGGCATTGAGGGACTAGTCGCAGTGGCTGTATCACATGGTTTGGCAATTGCACACACGTTAGGACCAGCCAGGCCTGATATATGGTCCCAGACCTCTCAGGCTCTCCCCACCCAGGAAATGTGTCTCATCAGGCATCAGTAAAAACGCACACCATTCAGCACTTTGCAAGCTCTTATACCTGTTGGTTACAACAAATACTGCATATTGCAGATATGGGGAATATACTTGCTTTCACTTGAAGATCTTCTGAACTGCGTGTGTCCATGTACATGGAAAGCAGGGTGGGTAACACGTTTGCTACTGCCACGGCACGTGCATGCTCAGGAGTGTGCCTTCCAACCTGGCCCAAGGCCCAGGCAGCTGCTGCCTTAATATGATCTTCATGTTCTTCTACCAAGCAAGCACACAGGGGTGGTATTCCCTGCAGTATTCATCAAAAACACAACCTTCACAAATCTAGACCAGCGAAGGACAACTTTAAGCTGACACAGATCTTTAGAAAATGTTTCTCTGTTTACACTCTTCCTCTAGAATAACCTGTAGAAGAGCATATGCTAGTGCTGTCTTTTTTTCCTTTTTTTTTTTTTTAACATCATGACCAGCAAGAATTTGTAATAGTCTTTTCAAATCCAGCTGAAAGACAGATTGAAAAACAGTTGAAAGACAAATTCAATACTCTATAAGTCAGAAGGCAGTTTGAGCCGGCACATCAAGGTTAAAGGTTCGAAGGAATACATGACACAATTGAGGTTGTATTGAGAGTAAAGGTTTTGATTTTGTCACGCAGAAAATATACCAATTCTAGTGCTTATAAAGCTATAAAAGAGGTCTAAGATCAGAAGGGCTCAATCATTACATTATCTAACTTTTTTTTTAATGCACTAAATTTCACCTCATAAGCCCTTTCTCGAACACAGTAACTCATGTTGGTTCATCCAATAACTTTCAGGAAGACTCATTTGGGAAACATCAAGGGATATTTCACTTTCTTCCATCTGTAACTGAAGTTCTTCTGCTTCTATGYCACAGTCTTTATCCTTTCTCCACAGGATTACAGTTATTGATGGCTGGTATTTTACATCCAGAAGGTAGTTAAACAGGGCCCATTTCACAATAGTTTAGGTACAGTAACCCTGTAGAAGATGTTTTTCATCCCCTACATCATTTTTGAGTCTTTTCTAAACCCTCATCATTCTTTTCAAATGCGGGCAGGAGAAGTGTGCACAGTACCTCACCGTGGTATCACTGGTACTACAGATGGATTAGCCTCTCACAGTAATACTTCATCTTCCACTCTTTAATACACCAGTGTTGGGTGAAGTGAAGTGTTGGGTCCATTTTGACCATCAAAAAACAGTTTCCCAAACTCATTCTTTCCAGTATGCCTGTACTCCRTATCAAATATGTCTTTAAACCTTAGCCTCTCAGTGACTGCACCTSGGTTGCTTTCATATGGTCCCAGGGCGGGAAGACCTGCCCTCAGCATTGCATCCCACCCCACAAAGCTTGGCTCCACCTGGAACAAAATTGTTAAAAACTGCAGTTTGGATTTGTTTGGAGAGGTGGGAGGAGATCATCGATGAAAATCTTGATATGAAATATGAAACTCATGAGAGTTTGCATGCAGGCCTACAAATCTCTCACTGCACTTCCTTGCAGTTCTGCATGCAACTATTCATATTTTTTACATTTTGTCAGTTAGGTGCCATTGTATCAACTTAATCCTATATTCATTCCATGTAATTTGAGGCACTTAACAGCAAAAGCATTATTTGCTCTAGGCATCTCTATCTATTGTCAGTGGACAGACACAGACTCTTCCAAGGAAAGGGGCCTCCAGAGTGGGATGAAACAGAAGTGTCTCTCTCCAGCTTTTCAAATGTTCAAAGGGAACTATTTTTTATAATTTCTGCCCTTTATGCATAATATTAATGTTATGTCATGGTGATTTCTAATTTTTGCCTTGCATTGCTATTAGACAACATTTCTATCCTCAGTTTTTATTGTTTTATTGTTTCCATTCAGATAGAAAATTTAAATGCTCTACGTAGTGTAAGAATGGGGCAACAAAACCCAATGAAATTTCTTGCTTTCTCACGGCGTTTTATAGTCAGCATTATTCAAACCAGAATACTGTGCCAGGCACTCATTTCACCTATTGCAGGTATTACAAATTCTCACTCTTCTATATTATTGACCAGCAAATTTATTTAAATCTGACAATGAATAGCACCAAGCTCATATAATTTGAAAGCTTTTATCACAACTGAATAAGCTATGATACATTTCAGAAACTAATCTTTACAAATCTTTACAAGTCTGAGGACTTCTGTTGCAAGGATACTCTAGCAGCATGAGCAGAGTCATGCTAATGCAACAAAAATGTGCCATTAAACATYGTTCTTTCAAAACTGATTTTGATTTAGCCAAAATGAATCATTTTATAAGAAAACAGATCATAGAAAATCACTGACTTATTTTCTGTAGGCACAGAAATCATCCCTTTGTCAATGGCTGTTCACAAACCAACCTCTTACAGAGGTTTAAACTCCATAAGGACCCAGTTTGATCAGGTGTGACATACTTTCAGACACGGTAAGTGATGATACTATTAAAAAGTGCATTCATCAACAGCGAGTGTATAATTCTGTCTCCAAACACTTGCTCTGCCTATGTGAATTTGTGTCTCTTTCTSAGAATACACTGAAGAATTATAGGAAGAGGACAAAGTAATAGCTAACCTTGGAGATGATCACTGCCATTGACAGGTTCTCCGAATGAGCTGCAACATAGCCAAGCATCATGATGCCAGGCAGCCTCACAGTCCCTCTGCAGCTGCCAATACAATCAATTATAGCAGCAACTCCACCTGCATTTACTATAAGCTGTGAAAGCTGAAAAGATAAATGAAGGAGATTAGATAGTGTGAAGTATCTACAGGCATAAAGCACTACATTACAGGAGTCTTTAACTGTATCAGCCCTGATTTACAAAATAAAGCTGGAATGAGATTGATGCCTCACGCTCATTGCTGGGCACCGAGCGCACCATGAAGTTCACAGCAATGAAGCTGCTTCGCTGCGCTGTTTGTGATCGACTTCGCCGCAAGGACATCAGGATTCTGAATTCCTGAGGCCAAACAGCACGGAATCATCCATTCTCAACTCCACGAGTACACACCAAAGAATCGTGCAGWGAAAGTCTATACACGAATTACTTTAAACACACACCTGCTGGGCCACGTATTCCTTAATACCAATGGCCACTCATTTTCCGAGCCAACATCAGGTTACCTGTGGAGGGGCAGAGGGAAAGGCCCTTTCTCTCGGCACCTGCACACGGCATAACCTCTGCTGCTGCCTAAGAGCCCTTGTGGATCCCCTGCAAGGCACAAGGCCAAGAGCAGCCGTCATAGCTGCTCGAAACCAGCTGGCACTGTGCCCTTCTGCCCTCACAGAGCACCCTACGAGAGACACCCGGGGAGCGTACTGATGGGCAACGAAGCTTCCCCCAGAACGTCAAACCACAGCCTGGCCATAAACTATACCCAGGTCTATATTCTTTGGTGCCAGCTCTATAAATAAGGCTATCCTACATGTGTTTTTCTGAATGATATCACTTCTCACATCACTTGAGGGACAGTAGTGGAGTACACATAATATCAACAATGCATAAAAATTAATGTGATTTCATATTGTGATCATTTCCATTTTTTTTTTCACCAAAGTTTTCAAAGCAAAAGAAACATATTCTTAACAGTTAGAACTAAAAGCACAAAGCTTAGCCAGGTGTTTCAATACAGCTGACTTCCACGAACATGAAATCCACTGTAGCCTCGAAGGCACCGGCACAGGAGTGTTTTATTCATGAGGCAGCCGGATGAAATTTAAAGCTCTTCCTTAGGAAGCTACACAGCTGTGGGCCCTAGGCCCGGCCTGCCCGGAGCCCCGTGCACTTAAAGCAGAGGGCTGCAGTGCAGAGACGGTCCCGGAGCGGGGAGCTGCACCCCAGCAGTGCCCCCATGCCGACCTGCCCGGGAATCCTCCGGCGCGTGCGGCGGGAGAGCGGGGTCCCACGGGCCTGGGCGTCTGTGGGCCTGGGCGTCCGCGGCCTGCGCGGACACGAGCTGCCACCTCGTTGTCGCTGCCAGCAGCTGCCCCGAGAGCCACAGGGCCCGGCCGGACGCCGGGATGGGGACCTGGCACAGGGCGCCAGCCGGAGCTGCGCGCGCCGCCGCTCCCGTGCACAGGGATCCCGTGCGGATCCCGTGGAGGAGGAGGAGGAAACGGCAGCACACACGGGATGGGGAAAGCCCTCTCACCCRTTAAACTGGAAGTGTCATTTTGGGAGGGTTGTGTTCCACAGTGTTAACTGGTTTGTATTTCATTCCAGAGTTCCACTTAGGGCCTTTTAATTGATTCTACAACCCAAAAGATTCACATAGTTGTAATTATTTAYGTTTTTCCATTTTCTTTCATATTCACTTTGGCAAACATCCCCCGTTCCCATATCTCTTGCTGTCACAAAGATGCAAACACTGGGACTCAGATAATGGAGTCAAGCTAATAAAAGAAACTACTAGTAGTTTAATAATAAAGTGAATTTTTGACTCTCATCATTAAAAAAAAAAGATCCCTGCAGTCCAAAACATTAAAAAAGATATACACCATATATAATTGTTAAAACATGTTCTTGTGATCTGCGAGTCAGTGTTAGGACTTTCGGGAAGCTTTGCTCTATGATTTTTTTAAATGTCTAGGGCTCACAGCACTGACAGCTTAAAACACCTTTTCTGCACTGATATCCGATAGAATGAAGTATCCAGGTATATATTGCAAGATTCCTGATTTCCCAACCCAATTGATATTCAATACTGCTCTCATRACATCAGCAATCATTTCCACATTTTTCCAATAAATAAACCAAACAGCTATTTGCCCTCCCTTTCAAAAAACAAATGACGGAATAATCCTGTGTTTTATTTAAAGTACGAAATCTAACGATATGACCTTGTATTAGCATTTTCAAGGTTTTACCTCAGGCGTGTGCTTTGCTATCTCTCTAATTAAAGTTGCACCATTTTTCCTGACATATTCATCGGAGTCCTTCAGGCATGTGAGCACAACTGGGAAAATTTCTGCTTCCACCACCAGCTCCGCGAGATCCACCGAGTGCTTTGCTATTTGGCTTAGAGCTGACAGCACCTGACGCTAGTAAATAAAAATCGTTATAAAATGAACAACGTACCCGTAGCCTGCGACACACACACTCCTCCTGCACGCAAGAAGCTCTTGCATCAAGGAAAACAAAGCAGGATAGGGAAAACAATTACAGCTATTTTACAATTCACTGAGCCAATTCATGCACGAATATAATGGCATAGAACATTCACTGGTTCCTGAATAAAAGTTTCTCTTTTGTTTTATCCCATTCAAGCTTGCTGTGTAATAAAAAAAAATTATATACCATTTCAAACTGTAATTTAAAAGAATTTAGAGAAATCTACTGAAATTACACTAAGGTGCATAGCATGAATTTCATCTAACAGACCTTATATTAAAGATTTTTATCTACTTTTTAGAGGTGGCATCTTTTATGTTGTCATCTGCTTCTGTTAGACAGTAAAAAATAAATTAAACAATTTTTTGTCAGTTAAACTAGTGATAAAATCTTCAACACGGACTATCAGACAGTGCATTCTAAGACATAGCAACACATTTAATATTAACCATTTTATTGTATGAACTGAAGTGTGTAAAACCTACTTTTGTAACTGAATTGTGCAAGCTGCGTCTATTTCAAATATGTTAGATGATATTAAAGGAYGCGTTTTTATGCATCAAACCAAAATATACACATGATACCATATAATTCTTAAAAGAAAAAATAAAGTAAATTCTAAACACTTCAAAGATTAGTTAGCAGCTCTTTACAGAGCAGCAGTTTTATCCAACAGCTAACTGTGAACATGTTCAGAAGCCTCCTTGTCACTAACCATGTAGTTACATTTTTATAATATCTAAAAAAAGAGCTTTGCAAATAAATACACAGAGCAGTGCCTTGGATTCAGTAGCAAGTAACGCCTGGCATAACTGAGATAAAAAAATAATAATAATAATTTKGAAATGTACCTTCAGTTTAGCATCAGGGTTCAGGATCATCTGAGCTAAGTGAGCGATAGCTCCTGCATCCACTACTGTCTGGGCTAACTCTGGAGAATGCTTTGAAATATCACTGAGGGTTGAAGCAGCAATCCTTTTCAAAGCAATTTCTGGCTCCTGGATACAGAGCACTAAAAGAGGAACAGCTCCCGCATCCACCACAGCTTGTGACAGTTCTGTAGGTCCAAGGAAAGTAATTAAGTGAGTATGGGTGACTGACCCTTGTGCAAGCCATTTTTCACCCTGACAGATACAGCAAAGGGAAAAGGGGAGGGTGCAGTTCACTGTCTCGACATCTGCATTTCAAATCAGCCCTCCTGGTTTCATAAACCGTGTGGACCAATCCACAACTGAAAAGAATGCAGGTCAATAGATGGACCCCCATTTACATGCACACATTTGAGGTAGATTAGGCTGAAATGGTTTGTTATTCTGTTTTCTTTTTCTTTTTTTAAAGTAAGCAGATGTCAGCTGTTTAAACCCTGGCTATTCTACGCTGATCAATAGGAAAGCATTTTATGCATGGCTAACAACAACAGAAAAGCCAAAGTACCAAAATTTTACCAACCACCTAATTAGAGAGCATTTTACCCTCTTTAAATGATAAGCAGATATTAGCATAGATCAAATGCCAAAAACAGAAATTCAGAAAACACACATAAAAGATTTCTCTTGCATAAAAGATTGGAAAAAATTGAGCTTGTTGACCAAAAGCTTTGCTAACATATATGGGAAAGAAGAGAGGAATTTTCACTTTAATGACATGAAAATATTATCCTGCACATGTAGACAAATAGGAAATATCATCAGTGGGATTTTGTATGCCCAAGATTGGTACAATATCCTTAACTATCTGCACCTTAACTAAAAGAAGCCAAAAGACCTGAACATATGAGTAGCTGACATGGGCAAAAATTACACTATTAGAAATTCATTAGCTGTCTTCATTATATGCAGCATTAATCACAGACCAA